TTTGTCCCATCTCTTCGGATCCCACGCTGCGTGAAAACTCATAAACTTTGAAAACTGAAATATACTGTTGGCAAATAGCAAAATCTATTTATAAAAACGTATTTTACTAAAATTTGTTTATCAATTATTTATTAAAGATATATTGAAAACTATGTGTCCTTTATATGATATTGTACAGATGTAATATTTTGAAACGATCACCAATATTATCATTTCTATTTTAATTTACTTAATATAAAAAATGGCAAAGACGAGATACGATGTTTAACTTAGAAAATATCTGGTGTTTCTATTCTTTAACAAAAGTCTCTAATAATATTGGCGGAAAGACTTAGATCGATAGCTCTTTGGTTACAATTGGTGACTAATAAAGATTTTTTTTAATTTTATTATTTAATAATATATTTTAATTCATAATTAGCAAAAATTGTAGAAGAATTTCAAGCTTTTCAATTATCGCACCATGTAGGATCATTGTTTTTTATATCTGAAAATAAATCCCGAACCGTAAGATAAAGGACGTGGGCTAATAAATATAAATAATTTAGTTCGGTTTTAAACTGCGGAATATTGGTAGAACTGATTACCCGCACTATGCGAGTTATGCTGTACAAATATTTCCTATTATTATATATGTTAATATATCTCAAAAATACGCAGAAAAAAGTAAAGGGTGTATTGTTATGGCATATATTATGTTATTTATGAAAGTAATAAGCGTTGGATGGATATTGTCAAGCGATCTTTATGTGCACATAATTGAAGTCTTTGGAGAATAAGTGAGGACGGATTTGTGGGGGTTGCAGAGAATACGATTATCGGCATGGCTGGCCATTATAAATTCAAACACCGAGGAAAAAAAAGGAATAATTAAAGTAATGCCCAGGCTAATCTTAATCTCAACGTTATTGTCCGACGCACTGCAACGGGAATAAAGTTACACACATACACAGAGAGACACATACAAACTCCAGATCTCGTACTTTATTATCCGGTCTTTTATATGCCGTGTAAGACAAATATGTGCCTGGGAATGTGTAAATCCACGGTGCTGGATTTCAAGGAAAGAAAGAAAAAAAGGAAAACAGCACAGGACGAGCAAATAAATAAATCAAACATACCTTAGCGAAATCGAAGTGTTCTATTTGCAAATCATATTCGAATTATTGGAAACATATTTCTTCAAAATATAATACAACTAGTATAAGAATAAATATTTTTTATTTGAAATGATAAACTTGACCACAATTTTGTTGATATACATTTATACTACAAAATAAACTTTTTATTTCATTATTTATAATTATAGATAATTAAATTAAACGAATATAATTGAATATTATGAAAAATAAAAAACTTAATATCATAGTAATTGATTCAGTAAACACAAGATAAACTATTTTTTACTGTTTTGTCCGTGGTACACATAGATTAGTAAAGGGCAAATAACTTTAAATATATTAGTTTTTTCTTACTTTTTAAAAACAAATAAAAGTATTGATGATTGTTTCGTGTTTTTAACTTAGACTTTTGTTTTCATTTATTTAGACTACTGTTTTTGTCAAAAGTCTAAAGAGTCGCATGTAACGTTACAATTGTCTTTTTGCTGGTGAAAGGAAATTTCCAATGTAACCATCGGTAGCTTACGAGGAGTGGAGATGGGAGCAATTACTCATAAAAAGAGCCGCATGCGGCTCCGGAACCGCTGGTTGTCGACACTTGGTTAGACAAATGTGTGTATAAATAAAGTTCATATTAAATTCGTCAAATATAGTGTAGATGCTCTATTTTATTCAAATATATAAAAGATGCAGATTTATGTCTTAAACTTCTCTTAAAACCTTTCTTGTTTAACCATCCTTTTTAGGCAAAATGTATTAAAAATAAAAAATGTACAGTTTAAAGTTTTAAACTCCTATAAGTAACTTAAATAAATACACGTAAATTAACTACATTATCATTCTATTAAGTTAAACATATATGTGTCAGTTATAGTATTTAATAATATATTTCAATTTATAATCAGCAAAAAATGTAATGAATTTCAAACTTTTTAATTATCGCACTACATGGGATGTTGAAATATCACATAATTACATATTAAAGATTTATCTGAAAACTAAGCCTGGACAGTAATATAACGGTTCACTTGGACTAATAAAGATTTGCTACAAATTAATATTTCTTTTTTACCTCGCATAGTGTGACTTCGATCAGTACTGATTCACTGTAGTACAGTTTGAACATTTTAAACCAATCTAAATTTTAATTGAAAAAAAAATAAACATAAATTCTAAAAAAACAATTATTTTTTTATACACAAATTACCTTAACCTTATTTTTTAGGCAAAATTAATTAAAACTAGTGTTTCATGTAAATTAAAATTCTAAGGTGCAGATCGAAGTCGTAATTTTTTCGGATGTAACTTCTTACAAATAAAGGGTTAAGTCATTTTATTCAATAGAAGATCGAAGCGTCGAAATTGAAAGCTCACAAATGAAATTGATGATCTCCGTTCGATTTTTTTTTGCGTGCCTTTCATTGGGCGAAACAATTGATCAATTGTGTCTGCCCGGAATGCCTTCGCAGACAAATCAATTAGAAAGCCCGAAGATACCCGTGGCGCGGCGAGAGGAGGAAAAGGAGAAAAGGAAAAGAATGGCATCGGAAAAATTAAAGGATGAGGAGAGGATGTTATTCATTGATTTCGTTGCATCGGTTGGAAAGGGTTATAAGAGCGTCGTCGTATATGTGTGTGTGTCTGTATGTGTGCGCGCAGAAAGATGGAGAGGATTTATAATTCCCAGGTGCCCATCTATTTTGAAATCCTGCTGCGAACGTCGGTTCAATATTAATCATTAGCCCAAGAATATGTACATACATACGATGCACAAAGAAATTCTTCACCTGTTTTTATTTTTCAAATAATAATAATAATATTATTAAATATATATATACTTCGAGTTTATCTCCGTTCGGTTATTAACATTTTTATGTTATTTAATGAATGGGATTAGGTTTCGTCGACTTGATTAAGTGCAATTATAATTAAATAATTATTGTTGTGGCGTAATCAAGGTGGCTGCGCTGGTTAATCCCGCCGCTTTGCGAAGAGGTCCGAAATTGCGGAACGCGCCGACCATGTTGCGGATGTTGTTAGTTGTTTGTTTGTTGCTGTTGTTGTTGTCGAGAAGAGAGCCGCAATCTCTCTGGTTCTTCGGCGAAGAAAGGAAGAGAGAAGAATAAGAAGAAGAGAATAAGGAGGTGGAAAGAGAGCCTTCAAAGGCCCCTGAAGGCCCTTGAAGGCCGGCCGGTCAGTCGCCGCGGTCACATCTGATACCGGCGAATGCCTTGCATACCCACTTCATAAATATCACCCTGTAAGCTCATTATACCACCGCTTTTCATCTACCCGCTTATGCACATACACATACTCGACAACAACAACACAAGTTCTCTTCTACTTCTATTAAAACTACTGCTAGGTAACAGTAGCTTATTCACTTATAACAAGGGGACCTAAGAATAATCGCCCGATATTAACATTTTTCAAGAGTCCTTTGAGAACAGAAAAATCACCAATAGACCAAATGCACAATTCAATCTTCTATAAATTGTTGCATAATTGGTAACAATGGAAGACAAAGCAATTGACAATCTCTCAATACATCTTATAATATTATGAGATAAATTAATTAACCCTTCTTCAATACAGCAACTATAATCATATTTATAATAGATTAAAATACGCATTATCCAAATTTCCATACGATAATAGGATGATATTTTTTTATGCGATTATTGGTACAATATTGATTCTATAAAACTAGCATATGTAACTATAAGTGATTTTTTTTAATCAAATCAAATTTTATGTCCCTTTATTTGCAGGAACGTACATTATGTTCATAGAAACGTACAAATTATCGTTGAACTCCAGAAACAAATACTCACATATATTTGAATTTAATTTTAAGTGAAATCGTTGTGAAAATAATAGTAATAATAACAATGCAAACTTAATTTCAATCATTTTCAAAAAATATATAATTTCATTCAATCTATGAAGAATTTGCAATTGTAATATATAGTGTTAATGTATATGAATACTATCTAAATTGATAAAGAAGTAAAATATGTAATATTAACTGAGTGAACGATCTTTAGTTAGGCAAATTAGACTAAATGTGAATATATTTATATCTAAACACAAACATATTTGTACACACGTTTACATTTGTTTTTAATGATGTTTTTCAATATATTTTATTACTTTAATGTAATAAAGATTGTCCAAAATCTGTAAACTATTTTCAGTTGATTTTTTGTACTACTGAAACACTTATTATACTAAATTTATTTATTGCACAATTGCTAATATCTTAATAATCTATTAAGATGTTATGTTCCGGAAGTACAAGAAATATAATGAATAATTATAATTGATATTACAATTTTTCAACCAATACAAAAAATAACATTAAAAAAACTTAACAAACGTTTTAAAAAAATATAAGTTTAATTTGTTGTAATTTGCAATAATCGATCGAGAGGCAATCGAAATCTACACGGAGAAAGGAAATTTAATTATAGAAATTAAGTAGTTTGCATTGAGATTATGGAATGTCAGCGGCAGCATTGGTCGTTGGAGATTGATTGTAAAATGCATTCCTCACCTTTCAATGCGCCATCGTCCATATATTCCAGTGCCATAAGAATGAGACGGGCAAGGAGAAGAGATATGCCCTGACAAGTAAAGAGAAGAAAGATAGAAACACAAGTTCGAAACATTCGTTCTCTCGATGAAGTATTCACAATTTTGAAATGGCCGGGAGGAAGTGGTTCGCTTTTCGAAAAACTGGCCCGAACAACTGACCTTTTCATAAATAAATGCATGCACGATCATCGGAAACAAGAGAAAAATATATAATAAAATAATAATGTAACTCTGAGTAATATATATATTTTTAATTGAAAACTTTTCATTTTTCTTTTATAGGGTTACGATTACAATAACCGTAGACGTCTTTCGACGCCGAGCCCTTCGCCGCCCAGGGAACAGCACAGAAATGGTAAAGCAGAACCTTCGCATCACGGCAGTTGGTTCAAATCTCTGGACAGGCTATCACGGAAGAAAACTAAGAAGGTAAATATATTTCTACAATAATATATAAACATTATCAATACCACTAATATTATGATAATTAAATATCAAATATGAAAGAACGTTGAACATGACTAAATCCAAAAACTTATTTATTTATTTAACAAATAAATTTCATTCACAGTCTGTATCAATGGTATTTATAAATCACATATTTTTTTACATATAATTAAATAAATTTAATAATAACATGGACATCTAAATGAATATTCAATAAAATTGAAAATTTCTTATGAAATAACTTATTCAACAAACCTTTTATAAAAAAAATATTCATTTCTAATTTAATATTTGATTTAAAATACACATAGCGATAATCTACCAACTTATCTTACAGTTTTTTTTTATTGTATATAGATATTATATACCGTGAATAATGGTAAAGAAATGTATCAGACGTAATAAATGCTATGTGCTAAAAAAGATATAGTGAGCAATTGTCACTGTCGGATATTTATTTCAATATTATGAATGCTGTGGACAGTTATGTCAAACCGTGATTGCAAATTTCGTCAAAAATAACGCAATTGTGGCGGCAAAGCAGAGGAAGGCATTTATCAGTTATCTTGTTTCATACATAATTCCCACATGTGTATTTTACGATTAAATCAAAATTTCAGTATTTTCTCTAAAAAAAATGTGTTTTATTTAAAATTTAGATATTCTACTATTTGCGGCATTCAGAGGCCTATTAACTACTCGTGCGGTGTAAAAATGAATATCACATGTATATTCTTTTTCCCCCATCAATGACACTTAACGTAATTTATGCCAAAAGTGCAGTATTGTGTTCTTGCTCTGCAGATGTCACAACCACAGAAATGCTAGCACTCTTAGGCTTGTTATTGTTATATGTGTATAAAAACAGTATCATACCCATTTTTTGGAACTATGGACAAACGATTGCACAGGTTTTGAAATATTTCGTGCTTGCATGAGCTATAATAGATTTCTATAGAAAAGAATTTTTCTAGTTATTCAGTGTGATGCAAATGAATCTGATGTAAAAACTGAATTGTTTGTAGTTAGTATTGCCTTATTATTAATATTTTCTTAAATTTTATGACGATTCATACATATTTAATAGCAATTAAATATTTTGGGTTTATTTACATATGTAATGCTGATATATTTTTGCAGGGTGAAAGTAACCTGACAAGCACTGAAGACGAAATTCCGAAACCGACGAAGAACTTGCGGTTCTTCGGAGACACCGATATCGAATCGAACGACAGCGTCAGACACAAATCTGCGTTGAAATCTCGACCGGGTTTGTCGAGCCGCGATCGCGTCCGCAGCCAATCCTCTCGCGACCTGCATAACATCTCCGAGGAGTCCAATCACAAGAATGTCCACAAATCAATGTTGAACATTATGGCTGATTCCGATAGAGACATCAAGGGTTCCAGGATGAGCTTGAAACCACCGGCATCTCCGGCTCACAACAGGAGCACGAGGGATCTGTCCAGGTCTCGAGAGGATAGAGGAAGGAGAAGGAAGAACGAGGTCAGCTCGGTGGAAAGCTCAACCGAAGGAGACAGCAGTCAACAGTCGCAGAGGAGCGTCGTTTATTTACATGCTGCAACTGGTAAGAACTAAATATTAATATGCACTAAAATGTACATTGTTATTTAATGAATTTGAAGTTTAACTCTTACAGTTTTATTAATTTGATTCTAAATTGCTCTTATATTACTTAAAATCAACTGAAGATGAAATGAGAATCTACAAGAACCGTAATAGATGATTTACTAAATTAAAATGTCTTAATATCACAATGATATTATTATCATTATGTATTATTTATATTTACTATATTAACTTCAATTTTAACATAACTAGTATTCTCTGTACTACTTGACAAATGATTTGAGATGTTGAGATGTAACTTGTAGTGATGGTGTTTTGTATTGTATTTTTTCAGTTGGAGATATACCTGGTCCCGGATATTTAAGAAACGGAAGACGTGCCGCCTCCAGAGAAGAACTTGCTTCGAACAGTTCAAGCCGCATCCAACCTCAGGTGAAGACGCTAAGTCGATCGTTCTCAGTGTTGGCCCCGTGGAAACCGCGCCACTACAGGGAAGGTATGGACATAGATTACACGCAGTACCCGAAGCAAACGAAGAACGGGAAGTACGAGCAAAACAAGAACAGTTCTAGTCGGAAGGAGTCTTCGACGCTGAAGAAGAAGGCGCAGGAGACGCGGCGTTCCAATCAAAATATGTCGACGTTGAATAGGAAGTCGCGCAGCAAAGAGAACATAAGCACGCTGAAAAGGGAGGTGAAAGGTTCCACGTCCAGCCTGTATAAAAAGAAGGAGCGTCAACCTAAAGAGAACAACAGATACAATAGAGATGACAAGAGGATGGCATCGAAGAGCATGTCTGTAGAGTCTCTGGGAAGCAACAAGAGCGCTAGGAAGGGTGAAAGGGAGGTGTCCAGGTCAATATCTATGCCCAGGGATCCAGAGAAAAGTGCTGGGTGGTTCAAGAAGAGCAGCAGTAAAAAGACATCCAGCAATCAACGTGCATGATCGTCGAACTCTTCCACTCGTGTTTTATTTTTGTTTTTACTTTTTTTTATATAATTGTTTTATTTTTTCAGAGCTTTATGTGCCATTTCCGTTCTCTCGATGATTTTTCCACATTAAATTTTTCGGAGATGAACCCGGTCGATTTTCGTGCCTTAACATGTTTTATAATATATATTTTTTATTGTATTAGCTTTAAGAACACATCCATTATAAATAAACGAGACAGAGCGAAATTCCCTTTCTCTTTCGTTACATTCGATCTAGTGAAGGAGAATCGGAATTTTTTGAAGAATTATAAATATATATACGAATTAATAATATTCTGTAACATTCCTTGGTGCTATATAATAAGTAATATTTGTTTATTATTTTTCGTTGTAAAATTATTGTAAATAACATTTATGACTACTATATATTATTATTTTATTTTATATTTTTTTTTGTTTTAATTTTATTCTTTTGGGTTAGGTTAGAAAGTGTAAGGATATGTTTTTTTACGTTTTGTTTTTGAATGTAATTTATATAACTATAACGTTACCAAATTGTCTCCACCACGGTTTTATTTATAAATACGCAGCTCGATTTTCCCTAATCTCTAATTTAATGTGTGTTTTCTTTTTTGTATTCTCATTTAGTTTAGTTGATAATTAATAATATATAAATAAAACATATACATTTGCGTGTGCATATACATAAATATGTACTTAATAGTTTCTAAATATTTAGTCATGTAATTATGTTTTTTTTTGTGTAATTTGCTATACAAATAATAATATCTAATATCAACTTGTTTCATTAATTTATTTAAAATGATTCTTATTGAAAACAAACTTGGAAGGATGATTTTTAGAAAACCTCTAAGGACTTAGATCAGTGATTCTCAACCTTTTTTTTTTGTTGCGGCACACTTTTAACGATTTCAAAATTTGACGGCACAAAAAGATAAGTTTAAAAGTTGTTTACTTACTTACCTATATATATAATACAGTGTGTAAAATAGTTTATGATAATTTTGAATGTAAAGCAAATTTTAGCGGCACACAAAAGTGCCGCGGTTGTATTCTCCATTTTTCTAAACATGATACTACTTTTCAACTTGGATTAAGTACAAATTGCATACATTTTCATATGAAAAGTGATTAATTGTATTACAAATTGCATTGGGACAAAAACAGCAGTTTTACCATTAATATAAAATGTAACACTATTTACAGATCCACAGTTTACCCTGTATTAGCAAGCTAATGTAAAAAATCATGTCTTTGTTTTTGAGTCTTTTAACAATTCAGAATAAATATTACATGTTTTTGGATTTTTCTGCAGAAACTAATGAAGAAGACATGAATGGCACATTGCATGAAATGTGAAACTTCGGTCTAAACGGTGTAATTATCAGATCCCACAGTACGTACTAAACCAACGATTCTTAACCCGTTGCTGCGAAGAGTAGTTAGGGGGGCCGCGAAAATATTGTTAGAATTTATTATGTTTTGATATCTTTACAAATCAAAATAATTTCTATAAGTTTAGGTTTACGATTTTTACATTGTAGGAAATATTAATGTATATTTGCTTATTTTTCAAGAAATTTTTTTTTTTTACAATAAGCAATCTATTACAATACAAAGAAATAATAAGCTTTAATTATGGCTAACGATAATGGAAATAAACTATATTGCAGATTGATGCAATGACCAAACTACACTGATAAAATATAAACAAAGTACATCACATAGTACATCACATTACAGCAGAAACAAGTAGGAAGAACGTACGGTTGGAATCGTTTCAGTCTACGTAAATTGCCATCTGTGTTTCTCAGCTCTATAGCAAGTTGATTCGGATTATCCTTCAGCCGATGACGATATCTGGTGCTGGCTTTTGCAATCTCTTCTTTAACGAAGGCGATACCAGTGGACTGGTGGATATAGTCATTGGGAGAACTGGTCAATTGCCTCAACGTCTTTGACTGAAATCTCTATATGATGGCTATGCTACAGTTGCACGCAGATCCCCATAGTTGAATACTGGAGGTCCAAATCGGTTTTATGACTGCCTTGTAGATGGAGAGTTTATATCAGCTGAGACGCCCAGAAGTCAATGCAATTTTTTTAACGTTAGACGTTCTTTCACGTTAGAAGTCTATCAAGATGCATTGACAGATATTTGGCTTCATCTACTTGCTGTAGAATGCCGCTATTCAGGGTAACCGGGAGGCAGGTTTGACAACGCATAGTGAATGTTACATGGGCAGACTTAGGTTCGTTAGCCCTAATTCGCCAACTCTTCAGCCAGTCGTTGATGTTTGATTATTTTTTTATTATTATTCCTAGTTATTATATATATTTTATTTTTTCATCAATTAACCCTGAACTAGAGCTTATTATCTGTTTTAATTAATTTGTAAATAAAAAAAATTCCTAGTTATATAAAACAAGTATTTTAAAATACTGGACCTCTACTACTTTCACCCTTAAAAAAGGAACCTATCACACTGAACAGAACCATCCCGCAAGCCGACAATGCCAAATACTTGGGCATCAAGTTTGCAAAGTTGTACTAGCTGATCGGCAGAAGATTACAGCTATCCCCCGAAAATAAACTATTAATCTATAAGATAGTGCTGAAGCCGATGTGGACGTACGGCATCCAGCTTTGGGGAATAGCCACCAATTCGAACATAGAGATCCTGCAACGCTTCCAGTCCCAATGCCTGGTGTAATAAAAGTTATTATTTTTCAGTCGATATATTTCTAACTTGAAATAATACTTAGAAAGACAGAATGCCCATCAAGTGTACGAACTACTTTAAATTAATACACTTTACACTTTATTCATGCAGATTTGTTTGTTTCATACCACGTTTAGTCAGGATATAAGATAAGAAATCAATATCACAATAACCATATTAAATAGTTAAACATAAAAATAACATAATTGAGTAAACTCCATTTTTTGTTGTTGACTAGTGTAACGTTTATATATGATAATTTTGAATGCATAAAATTTCGCACTTCAATAATTAAAAACATTAATTTGAAAGTGGCCTAAGTCCACTTCATTATTAATAATGTTCAGATGCTTGAATATATCAGCCATGTATGCAAGTTTGGCTATCCAGTAATTATCATCGAGGTACCTATACCAGTATATCGGGCATATTTTGATCTAAAAGAAACTCACGCACCTCGTAGCGAAGTTCAAACATCTAGCCAACGAACATCAGTATTAAACAATACGGATTCATATATTCGCGAATTTATCGTGTTCAAAAATTTCTCTAGCAAATCTTGACCATTAATGCTTCTCGCTATATGCAACAGGGTGTAAATTGTATTGTGCAATAATACAAATAATACAATGCCATGGCCACCGGTTGTGAATCACTGATATAAAGTATTCCAAAGTATGAATGGACGAGAATGCTCTTTCAAATGTTAGAATAAATGTAATTGTTAATTTTATAAGTGTCTTAATTCCATTTGTGGTTAAGAAACAAATATTATTCACTTATTAATAGGAATTATAAATTTAATTCTCTAAGATAAAATTAAGCAGCGTGACACATACTTATCCAAATTTAAATAAAAATGGACTTTTACACGACTTTTAAAATAAACGGCAATTTATGACAAAATATGTCCTCTTTTCAAGAGAGAAGAACCACATATAAAAAAATATTTTCTGGTAAAATAGTGTCTCATACACTAACCAAATCGAAATGAAACTCTTGAAAATCTTGTAGAGCAGACACTATTCTTCAAAATGACGTAAACCTATACAATTTTTTTAGATTTGGCTTTGTAGTTATAACGAAATCCAAATAAATCAATACATATATTCCATGCGAGATAAAATAGAGGCGATGAAAATGAAATAAATACAATGGAAAATAAATGGATTCAAACATTGTGAATTATCCTTATAATAACTGTGATAATATAAATTCATCACCAATCCACGGTAGGCTCTGCTTGAATTGACAAAGGATTTAAGTTTGAATTCAATTTTCGAGAAAAAAAGTTTGGTACAAGTTTCAATACATCGCCTTTGCAACAAAACTAGTGTATTCAAAAACAGAAGTATTATAAATTTGACACATGGTAATTATTGGGTAAAGTAAAACGTTTCGAGCGTTTTTGTTAGATGGCTTTAGAGAGCCATATCTCACAATGTATACGTTTTACTTCACCCAATATGAAAGGGACTGAAAAATATAAAGCTCTTACTCATACATATAATGTATATTTGCATTTGTATATTTCAATTGTATTGCTAAACTTCGCTTCAGAATTATTAAAATTATTTATAGCAATTATATATTGAATTGTGATATAAACATTTAAAATCACTATATTCAGGGCCGCCACAACAAGTTGTGCGCTATTATATAAATAAATACAGACCAAAACAAATATGAAATAAAATACCGCAACAATCTATATTTAACAAAGTAATAACAATTACATTTATTGTAAGTCAGATATAACAATTTATTTTAAAGAAAAGAAGTAACTGTTATGCCAAGAAACTATATGCCAAACTGCAAATCAGACTTGCTAAACGTATAAATCGTTTTCTATCATAGTTCTTTGAAAGTATTAAATTCTAATAACCTAGTAAATGTGGTACAAGTCTCCAGAACCGCAGCAAGAGGGATGCGCAGGGAGGATCGGCATCAGACTCATCACTGTAGCGACGCAAATGGCTCAAGTGGGTTAAGTAATAATATTGTTTCTTGAGAGAAGGGGGCGCATTAAATATTTGGCATCTTTGATTTGTTAAGGCCGGGGTTAAAATTAGATATTCGGCAAGAGTAGTCTTGTCAGTCTCTCATCCAAGTTTTGTCCGTCACACACACTGCTTAATTATCAAGAATTAAGCATGGATACGTGATATAATTAATAATAGTTAAATTCAGACAATATTAAGTAAACACTTGTATTTGTTGATTACGAAATGGAAATTTTGTTCACACATTGTTATCTTTCTGTACAGAGTATTATTACTCATACCTTGAATCTGCGTGTGCGTACTTGCGACTTACTCAATCAATTTCTGAGTATGTTCTGAGTATGTGTTATGCATTCCGCTTCAACCGCGGGAGTGGTTTTTATCAGACTTTCGATTAGCACTTATCAGTGTCGTATTTCCTTTCGTTAATCGGCCGGGCTCTTCAACAGTCATCCGCGCGATCCCGAGCCGTCAAATATGATACTCAAAATATATTGTGTACTAAATATCTTTGCATTCATCGCCCTTGTTCGCGGTTCTCTCTTCGACGCTCTTAATCATGTAGAGTTTCATAGCAACCAAAAGGATGATTACTTCGGATATGCAATCCATTTACAACAATCCAATCCACCAAGGTAATTATCGATTAGTCGATACGTTGAGTAAATATATTTGAATATGTAATCTGATTTTAGATTAATCAGCGGCGCTCCGAAAGGAGGTGTTGATCAGATCGGAAGTGTCTTTGTATGCGATGTAAACAATCCGACGAATTGCAAAACCCATTACACCGTAGAAACGGATGGTACGTAGCGTTGGATATTATTGCATAAAACCTGAACCGATTATAATGAATTTTGCAGCTTTTAATGAAATCAGAAACAGTTCACTTTTTGGTGCCACTATAGAGGGTGGAACTCAAAACGGGAATTCAGTTCTTGTGAGTGTTTATTAATTTCACAGTATATTTTACATTACTAAATACAATTTGCGTTTATCGATATAGGTGTGCGCTCCAAAATTTACTCAAAATTACAAAACACCATCTGGAGGAAAAATGACAAACAACTATTTCACCAACGGTGCTTGCTACTATTTATCGGATATCGAGAAAAACAGCAGAATTGGTATTTTTGCTAGCTCCGAAAAAAGTAAGTTGTTATAGATTTGTTTATATTAATATATTGAATAAATCATTACCAAAATATGTCCATAAATACTTTGAAAGTATATTTAATGTGAATTTATTAAAATAGATTTGAGTATAAAGTCCAAAACTAGGGTTAAATGACATATATTAAGTTTCCACTTGAAGACATTAAAAATTACTTCAAATAAAAATCAATATAATAGCAAGCTAATGTAAAAAATCATGAACAAATGATGTATTTTCATAATTTCAAGCGATTTGAACTTGTTTCATAGGTGTTACTTTAAATAATCTCATTTTTATGCTCAATATTAATCTAATACCGCAAACTGACTAAATTGCGCACTGAAATTTCTATGTCGCAAAACAACTTCTTTGTGCCGCAGACAACATAATATTACACCGGCATTTAGTAAACACTTTGGACATAGGTTACGTTAAGTATCAGAGATGGGGAAAAGAAAATATAGATGTGGTATAATTTTTTAGAAAATTGGTGTACTTTTTACACCGGTGCGACTAGTTAAAGGTTAAGTACATTTAATTAAATTTTAAAATCTATATTTGTTTATAATATACTTTTAGACGTTTTACTAAGTTTCTTAAATTCTTACTAATACATTTTATTAATCATTCTTGTAAATATTTGAAATAGATTCTGAATTTAATACTTCTGAATTTATTAATTTATCAACATTACTTAAACTACTTTTTCTTAACAGAATATGAAATTTTCATAGACAAACTATATTTCTTTGTAGGTGTTGCTTCAAAACATATTTTAATAACTACAATATATATTCTAATATATTCTCATAATGTGTTTACTACACTTATGAGTATCACAAATATTTTTTTCATAATAAGATACCAATACAAAAAAATAATACGTTTGCTTAAGAGTAAATGAATAGATGTAAGATATTCTAATAATTAAATTATTTTTTTATTTTTCAGCAAAACAATTAGTTTCAGGCAGATACAATCATGCTCTATCCGAATTTGGATTTTCAGCAGCGTACAATCATCACAATGTAATAAATGATGATTTTTCCATATTGAAGTGTAATTAATATTTATTTTCAGGATACGTTCTTAATCGGTACTCCGGGTCAATTGGATTTCACAGGTTTGTTAATTTTCAGTGATTTAAGTAAATTTAAGGAATAATTATTTATTATGAATTTTAAAAACCATAAAAAATTAAATCTTTGTATTTTATAAATAAAATAATAATCGAATATTTATTTTTGTTAATGAAATATTATTAATTGTTTATTCGTAGGAAATGCGGTTCGATTGATAGAAGAAGATATTCCTGTTAATGCCAGACGTCAGATGACGAAGTCGTCAAATAAACCGTATGATTCCCGAGATTTATTCGAAATACCTCAGTTGAAGAAATTCCACATTTACGAATACAGAGGATATGCTGTGGCTCTGGTAAATGTGGGTAAAATCTACGCGGTATTAGGAGCTCCAAGGGCAAATCGCCTGAGAGGACAATTCGAGGTGATCTCGCATAAGACTATAGTCCAAACGGAATTAGGATCTTCGCCTGGTTCTTACTTCGGTAGCGTCTTTTGCGTGTTAGATATCAATGGAGATGGCGTGGATGAGTTACTTGTAGGTGCACCAACATTCAAAGAGAAGTTTTACGATCAAGGAAAGGTGTTCGTGTACTTCTACGAAAACGTAATTAAGTTAAATAATATATATTTAAACATCACTGAATGAGCACGTTTTAGGAGAAATTTGCCAAAAAGTACTCGTTGTTGGGACACGAGGAGAGAGGCAGATTCGGTTCGGCCATGAGTAATTTGGGTAAAATCACCGGGGATGCATATGATGGTAATATAAACTCAATAGAAGTAATTTGAAAACATGAAATATCTTTATTGATTTAAGCTGTGGCAATTTCAAGTCCGTACGAGAATAACGGAATAGGAGCTGTCTACATTTATCTATACATCGATGGAAAATTGGAGCAGCATCAAAGAATTGTCATGAGTAATACCAACGGATTTGGTTTCAGCATATCACGAGGCGTTGATGTTACAAGCGACGGAAACAATGGTAAATCTGCAAAGATAATTAAATTTGACTTTATAATTTTGTTTTTTAAGACTTCGCGGTTGGTGCTTACAAATCTGGAAAAGCTTTTCTCATCAAATCCAAGCCTCTGTTCCACTACGAATTCAAGATACAAACTGTGGAGAGTTTGCAAAGTTTCCATGATAATCCTCCCTTCAACTTTACCTATTGTCTGAAACTTATTGGTTACGATAAAGTTAATACTATCATAACCATAACCAGTAGACAGTCAAGTGCAAATCAGAAGGAAACACTGATTATTAGTAAACAACATTGCAGTACGGTCGAAGTAAAACCGCTCGTAAGTAAATCTTATTACCAATATAGTTAATTAACAATTTCAATTACCATTAAACAATTAATATAATTTCATTTGAACTAATTTAATAATTTATAATTTGTTAAAGAACAACGATGATATTACTCCATTAAGTATAGAGTTGAAAGCCAGATCTGCTGACGGTAAGTCATTCATTGAATTTTCATCTGAATCCATCTTTTATTTACAATTGTTTTGCGTATTTTTTCTTGATAAATAGAGGTAAAAAAGGTTTTTATGTAGGTTCTTCAAATCTTTTTTAAACGTTTTACAGTTGTTAACTGGTTTTACAGTTAACAAATGTTTAATTTGCAAGAATTGAAACTCTAAAAATAAAGTAATTCTGAAGAATGTAAATACAATTGACCCTTCTTAATGGTTACAATAAAAATCTTAAATTCATATTATTATTAAAAAATAGTATAAAAACGAAGTTATAAATCTACTTGACAAAAGAAAAAAACAATTTTAATGTTTTAGCACAGTAGATCTATTTATTAGACTTTTAAACGTGAAAATCTTTGATAAAAATAGTAGAGAAACCAATGGATAGAACAAATATCAGAAATATTTACAATTGAAGTGTTTCGAAATACTAAATCTTCTGTTAAATTTATAATTTACGTATTCAATTGCAAACAGACTTTTCAACAAGAAAATGATAAAATTAGTAGAGAAAATATACGATAAAAAGTTTTAAATCTAATTGACATTAATTTATTTATTGAAATATTCTTAACAAAAATATTTCTTAATATATAACTTTGAACTAGAGTTTCTGAATTGCATAATTTGAAGGAATATACTATAAATATTATTTCACTTAATCGTTACTTTGTATTCCAGATTGTCCAACATGTCCAGTTCATTCTCCAACAAAGAAGAGTGTCGTAACACACGAGATCCCATTCCTACTGAATTGCGGTTCGGATCAAATCTGTACACCGTCTTTGCAAATATCGAATGAATTCAATATAGAGAAGTTAACAGTGGGATCCGAAGAGAAGATATCCTTAAAAGTAAATGTGGTTAACAGCAACGAACCTGCATACCTCTGCAAAGCCTTATTGTCATTACCATCAGGAATTTTCGTTACGAAGACGGACCGAAATTGCGAAAAGAACTTCAACAATTGCGCCTTGGATAAAATATTACAAAATTCAGTAAGATCAATCTCAATCGTAAAGTTAAAATTTCTAATATGACATAATCCTTTACAGAACACGATCGAATATCAGTTAAACACAAAGGACTTTCAGGATATTCGCACTAACTTATTATTCAACTTCAGTTTAAATTGCGTCAACGAGACATTGGAATCCTACATGAGTCTTCCTTTGGAATATAAAAGCAAACTGGAAACTGATGGGTACATTTCTTAATGCTTTGCAATTATCGAAAGCTGATTTTTTTTGTTATTAGTGTTTCAGATAAGATAGTTTATAAAAACAAGAATGTCACTGAGGCGATTACCTACAATCATGGTTTCTACATTAGAAATATTGGTCCAAGTCCGATCCAAGATTTCGAAGTAACCTTTAAAATCCCGAATAAAATTAAGAGCGATCTAGAAGATGTTATGAGCATTCGCAGGCCACAAGTAAAAAAAATATATGAGATATTAACGAATTGTAATTAATTTTATTCTGTTAAAGTCTTCCTCGCAAGGATTTAGATGCGATACTGATTTACCAGAAAATGTAGAAGAAGATACGAACGATGACAAAAGTGAATTGTCTGCGGCAGGACTTTTCGGGAACAACAAAGATGATATACTGAGTTGTTCCAATTCGAAAATCCAATGCATGGCAATAAAATGTTGGTTAACGATGAAAAAAGGTCAGGAGATTAAAGTTTTCATAGAAGTCAAACCGCACATCGACAATATCCGTAAGTAATATCAATTAAAAATTCCAAACAATTGTTATTTCAGAATTATATTGCAGTAAAGTACTTCAAGAATACGTTCACCGCTGTTTTGGATTTGGAATATGTGGAGAATAAAGAGAAGTGAGAACTACAATTTATATTTTAAATGTAAGTTTTAAATTTGTATTTCCTTTTTAGATTGATCAAAAGTTCGGAAGTTGTTTTGGAAGATACCATTGACGAAAGCGGCATTGCTTGGTATTGGATTCTTTTAGCTGTGATCATCGGTATTTTGCTTCTCTCCGCTTTAACTTTCTTAATGTACAAGGTGAGTTATTAAATTACGTAACATTTTTTTTAGTATTAATTGTTTTTTTTTTATTGCAGAAAGGCTTCTTCAAACGCAAACAACGCGACGAGATGAAAGAAGAGATCAATAAAATTAAGACTAAAGAGACCTTCGGTGAAATCGAAGAGGAAACTGAGACTTGAGATATTATAAAACTCAAGTTAATGTCATGTTTCATATAATTTTTTAGAATCGTGATTCGCTGCATTCAATATTTGTGTAATCGTGAAATAAAAAATATATTTATTACTATATTAATTGCATGGACTAAATACAGATTGATTAAGAAACATTTTGGGAAAGTATACTTTTTGCTATTGTTGTAAAAGGGTACTTAAATTGTAGCGGTAAAATAAAGGAATACAACGTACAAACAAACGAAATTAATAAATGAACAAAAAGTAATAATTATAATAATATAGTAATAAGTGTAAATATGTGAATTAAATGTAAAATAATATTCGCACATCGCCTTTGGCCTAGTGAAGACTCTTTTTCATTTTTTGTTACTTTCAAAGAATTTATTCGTCAATTGGCAAGTATAAGTAATATACAATGATCGTATTTATATTTACATCGAAAACAAAATAAAATATAGGTGGTATCGATTAAGATTAATAAAAAGTATTTATACATGGCGAAAGAAACTGTAGTCGAAGCTAAGAAGGTCGAGTGTTAATAAATAAAAGCGCAGTTGAAGTTGGCCCTAAAGTGGTTAAATAAAATCATACAAATAATAATAATAATTATCGTAAAGAACAACATAAACAAACAATAATAATAATAATTGGTGGTGGCGGCAGAAAATAGTGGTGTTGTTGTTGTTGACTCATAACAATCTGCAGGCGTTCTTCAGCACGTTCTTCTTCTTCTTGTGTTTGCCTGGCCTCAAGATTATCGTACCGTTATGGTTTTTTGCCGAGTGACTAGGACTGAAGGCACCTAAAACACACACAAAATATAATATTACAATTTAAGTTCGGAATATTAATATTCTATCAAATGTACTAAAATAATTCAAATATTTGTTTTAAACTTATTTTTTTATTGTATCTTTATTTACTTTATCATTGAGGAATCACATCAAGTTCAGAATATTTCTATCAGTTATCATATGCATATCAATTATCAAAGTTGCTGCAACATTAATTGAAACTATTTTTAAAACTGTTTTCATTGTATATTTGATTAATAATAAAGTTTAAACTTTATGAAATAATTTGACTGTCAGTATATTTAAAATTGTATACTAAATTATAATGAATTGAGAAAATGTTACCTTTAAAAAATAACGTCCAAACAAGATCTTTTGCACTTATTCATAATAGATATACGTATTAATTAATTATATTTAATTCTAATTAGACAAATAAAAGAAAATAATTCATCAAATTCATTTTTCTAAATATTACTTGCTTCAATTTATGAGATACTTTGATGCAAATGATTTCAAGCAAATAATACAGAATATTATGTAATTTTGATCTTAATTTGAATATAAATATCTGCTGCATAGATGAGTTAGAGATTTTTTTTGTTTGATATAAATAAAAACATCATGATTAATTATCCTTAATATTAGGAATTCGATTCATAATTCAGGTTCAATTATTTTGAAACTATGAATCGGAATGTTAAATAATATCTGTATCAAATATTGTTAAATTTCAAGTTATATTATTCCATATGAAGACTTTGAATATCAACAAACAGTAAAAATATTAAAATAAGTGATATGTACAGTTGGTTGCATAACTTACTTATGGTGACAGGATGATGTCCGTGGGATACAGATGAATAATAATCATCGCGAGGTTCTCGCATCTCGGCCAAACATCTAGAAGCCAAATGCCGGAAAACGGAAGCCACGTTGACGTCCTCCTTGACGGAAGTGCGTAGCAGCCGGCAACCCAGAGCTCGGGCCAATAGTTCGGCCTCCTCCCTGCAAATGAAATTGAAATAAATTAAAGAGACTCATGAAGAAATGCATATCTTTGTTCATTTCTTATTTTCAAATTAAGTTTGTCCTGTTTTGTCTTGACTCATTTTCCATCTTATTTTCGAAACATCATTCCGCGTGGTTGCGTGAAGAATGTCGCCGCATCAATTAAGTCAATTAAAAATCTCCGAGAACTTATTACAGATCGGTGAAAGCAAAAATGGATTGCGCCTAATTTGCGCACAGTCCGATGGTGAAGAGTAACCGTTTCCGATGGTAATTAACGGACCATAATTTTGTTTACATACCAGCGCAGTTTCCTTTTTTTCTCATTCTCTATCTGTTTTTACCGTCTTCCTCTTGCGCACCTCTAATCATAATAAAATTAAACGCTTCTAAATTGCATTTAACTGCAATCCAACCGTTAACATCTCAAATTCCTGTTATTACAGTAGTCTTACGCATACCTCCAATGTGTGCTGTATATTATAGGTTTTGTATTAAGATTGTTTATATCTGAATTAAACACATTTAAAAAATAATGCAGTTCCTACAAATTTATAATATAAGTATAACGCAATTTTGATTAAAGTTTCAATGAATGCAGTATGCAGTACTTAATAGAAGTACCAACTATAATAGTCCTGCGTACAGCAATTTAGGTATAATACTTGATACACCTGTCAAAGTATCAATTACACATTATCCCAATGATCAATGCATTTCTTATTATTTTAAACTTCAATGTAAGTATTTATGGATTTATATCATTATTTCAAGAAATAATAGTAAACAAGCTATTGACCACAATCTTTCCGACCTTGAAGAAATATTTTAAATAAATTTCAATAATTACAACTGAACATGACAAATATAAACATATTTTACTGCAGCGCCATCTATCACAAAAATGAAAAGTACTATGGGTGAATTCAAAAACATAATAATAAAAAAAATACAGCAGAAATACAAGAGATGAACTAAAAGTTAACTAATCCTGTGGTCTAAGGTAATTTTTGTTTGCAAAAAATATACTTTTTACAGTGTTATAAAAATTATTAACTAAAACTGTTTATATTTCTACATTAATCGTTTCTGATTTGTATGTATAAAAAGGTTGAAGAACGCTGAACTAAATTACTTTAAATAGTTCTAGAAGAAATAGAATTCAATTAAAAAATAGCTGCAAATGCTAACAAGGCGCAGAGAAGGCTGTTTGCCAAATAACTATATATTTATATAAGTTACATGGCAAGTACTTAAATAACAAGCCACGATTGTCATATAATTAATTCACCCATTCTTTAACTATACTGAATTAAATGTTAAACTAACATTTATTATGTAAATGGACATAATTGAATATGGAAAAAAATATGTTTAGTTTTATATTGTCTTGAGTCTCTAAATGTAGAACGTAGTTTAAATATATTTTATTTTAATATTAAATGTAATTTCCGCAGTGGAGCAAATTCAATTGGATTCTCATGTTCTTAGAGTTTATGCACATCGTAAGTCTGGAAAGAGCGTGGAAGGAAACAAGGAGCAAAAGGGCCTCATACAGACTTTTCAATTTCACCTCGGACGAACACGGCGAGAAAAAGTTGGCACGATGAACCCTAGAGAGGCGGCATCTCACGTAATCTGCGGCCGTTAAATCCTAACTCTGGCAGGAAATTTACGAATTGAAACGGAAAACGTTTGCGCAAATTGTGCAAAATAAAAGCTGTACGTATAGTATACCGTCTAGGGCAGACATTTATATATAAATAAGATAACCAGTCCACTTTATTAGACTATTAAACGACAAATTGGTAAGTATTATCCTTTAATATTTTAATAATTTGATATTTAATATTTGAAGTTCTCTTTCCTGTATGATAATGATTTTATTTACATATTTCATTTAATAAAGAATAAATTAATTTACCTGAATTAGCACAGTAACTATAACATGGTAAGTGCGAATTGCCGTAAGTTAGTATAATAAAATATAACTGCTTCTATTGGCCCAATTTATGCAAAGTGATATAGTTTTTACTATATTTACAATATATAATTTACTGAATATTTATTAAAATATAATTCTGCGATAAAAAAACATTACATCATATCACTATATATATGATGTAATATTTTTAAAATATCATTTAAGATCTAAAATAAGAATTAAATTGTGTTAGCAATCAAAATTATTTTCAGTGTGTTTAACTTTAATTGTGCAAATCTTTATATAAATAAGTGTTTTTTAATTGGCTTTAATAGAAACACTTTTCGTTATAAATACACATGTATTTTATTATAAGCAGAGTGTGAGTGTATAAAGCGTGTATTGCAGTGCTTGTGAATCACGCTCCTATTTATTTCTTTTAGATTGTGCTGTTTCCTTCGAAAGGATATTTTAGCTCTCCTCAAAAGTACAACAGTGCCACGGTCTTGTTTACTCTTGAATCTTGCAAGACTAAACAAAACAGTTTATATGCATGCAGAGTTTCCACAAACCACTACTGTGTCTCGTACTGCAAACGGCCATGCGGCTGACCTCTTGAGCAGCCCGATGTTTATATAACCTTCCATGCATTTTCTGCATTAACATATATGATTTTTCAATTTTATAAATTATTTTCAATCTATTATATACATATAATATTAAGAAGTAAATGTTTTTTACCTCATTTGCTTTATTTATAACATGTTCATTAGTTAAGAATTATATGACTAAATATAGTGGAATCTTGATATTGTATCTCGGTTCAGGATAAACATTAAAATAAAAATACCTCGCTTTCTGTTCACACACAGAAAGTCCTCGTAAGCACTGCCTCGATTAACGGTTTGTGGTTTGCTGGAAACCTTAAAAAAAGCTCTAAATTTACCCGGAATCAAATTATCGCGGCATTTCATTGATTCGTATATAATACGATTATTCCCGAACATGTAGCGCTGTGCTTTCCCAGAATCTATGCTTATTTGCAGGATGATGAGCAGGATATTAAGGAGTTACTACAGGTTTTTGGTGAGGGCCTTACCAACGACGACCTTCAAGAACTAGCAGAACAAGGAATTAAAGAACGCGAAAATAGTGATTCTGAATACGATGAACCAAAAGAACTTGCTACAGATTTTCTTAAAAAAAGATTATTAACGATAACTGATATCCTTGATCAAATTGTAGCGAATGATCCAAATTTTGACAAGTAGATCGCCTGCTACCAAAATTTGCTTAATGAAATGAAAAAAAAGCGACAAATGATTCTAGACGATTTTATCGCCATAAAATAAAAAATATTAGAAGACCAAATGTTTGTGTTATATAAAACAGTGATTCTCAAAATGTGAGTCGCGAAAAATATTTGGGAAGTCGTAAAAATTGAATGACAGATCATTCCTAGTTGTTTTTCTACACCAATTCTTCGGGGGTCGCAGAAACTTTTCATGTCCATAAGGGAGTCGCGAACCAAAAAGTTTGAGAATCACTAATATAAAACATAGATTATGAAAATTACTATAAATACAACTAAAAAATAAAGTAAAATTTGTTTATTTTTTGGTATTTTCCTATTTGCTATGTACTAAAATGTACATACATAAAATGACTTAGTACATAATGTTTTAGTACATAAAATGTTTCGTTTTCGGGGTCTTACTGTAGTATTATTAGAAAATTGCTAAAAACGTATTTCTCAATTTATCTATAATTTTTTATGATTTTTTTAATTAATTTGTAACAATACGTATAACAATAAAACAATAACAAAAATCGAAGAAAAAAATGTGGAAAGTAAATTCGTGTAAGTTTAGAATATTTATAAAGAATTCTATAAATTCGCCATCTTTTAAAACAGGCATGTATAAAATTTATTTCAATTCGTTGTATATTATTTTTGTCCGTCACTAATTAAATTAATAAAAAGATTTGTTAACATTATTTTTCATGTATGAGTTATAAATAAATTCGCATTTATATATGTGAGTTATTTTAATGTTAGTACTTTTGTATATAAATGTGAGATTAAAAAAAACTCGATTGAATAAATTTCTGCGCCAAAAGTGAAACATGTTCGCTTTCGGTGCTGCGAATAACAAATGTCGTCCGGTCACGGCAATGACCGGAAGTGCGGAAGAAATGCATCAGTCTTATCGAGGCCAGGATTTAATGGACACATTCGATAAAATAAGCCAAAATGGGCCTCGGCAACACTAGGATAATGAACTGCGGGTAGACCGAAATATATACACACATACACACTCACACATATGCATATACACACACGCACACAACCCACTATATACTATATACAAACTATGTAGGAAGCGAACCGCGATTTTGGGTCAACGCACCAAGGTTACATTTATATTTCGACACGCGGAAAACGCACCGAAATATACATAAAATAAGGAAACCGCACGCATCTGAGATGAATAAGACACGATTAAGAACACGGAAACAGACTAAATCCGTTTCTTTCCACTCTTTCGTAAGCTTTTTTTCTCTTCCTCCTATTCCTTTTTCTTCTTTTTTATTTCATGTTTACACGTTTCCCGCATTTATTATTATACTTACGGATTCACGACGCTCTGATCCATCAGGTCTATTTTATTTTGAACTATCACAGTGGGTATTTCTCCGCACTCATTCTCTACCTGAAAACAATAAGAAAAACAATCAGTTAAACATTCCCATAAACTCATAATCTCAGAACTAATACTAAATAGTAGTTGAAATTATATTACCTTTCAGCTACAAATAATAATCATTAATAAATAGTAATTACTAATTACTATATACTCCAAAGAATTAGTAACATCTCATACGCTAATCAATTAATTTATACATGATAATATTGTATTTGTTATAACAGTCACATATAAGAAATAGATTTATGTAACAATAATTATATAATAAAAGATCAACTGTTACGATGGAATGAATTATGTAATTTTCTAAGATCCTGTAATATCAATAAAATAATTTTAAAAGTATCTTTGCATTGATTTAATTCTAAGTACACACTTCTAAGTATGACATGACATAAGTATCTCACGTAATCGAACGCTCTGAGTTTGGAATGCGCACTACTTGCATACACAAAAATAACCGCAACGAACTAAATATAGTGACATATATTATATAAGTTGGTACATATGCAACAACAGCTGTATTCACGAAAAGCCGTTTCTTATAGAAAATAATGTTTATTTGCAATACAATTATCTTTTAAGATCAATGACCGAAAACTTATGGTCTATTTTCATGTCTTCAGAAAAAACAATTTACTTAGTTTTTATTAAATGAGAAAATTCAGTATCATAAAACAAAACGTGATCAAATAACATAAATTGTAATAGATCATACGTTTTTCAAAATATAAAAATAATTTAAACGACTTTGACATCACAGAAAAATCTATTGTTTGAAGAAATTTTAAAGTATTAATTATTTTATTTAATTTAATTAAAATAATTACAAAATTTATTGGTTCTTTTGGCGAACATTTGACACTTCATATCCGTAGTCATTGCTTTTATGAAACTACTTAAAAGTTAAAAGTACATCCATAAGATATATAAATACAAAAAAAACTATATACCGATACATATCATTATAAAAGATATATTGAAAATATTAGTAAATTCGATTGCAGCGCCATCTTGAATACTATAAAGACAATTTTATTAAATAATTATAGTAAATAATAAATACAGTATTAACGTGCTAAACGTGCACTTCGTTAATGAGTAATTCGCCTAGAGAGCAACAAAAACGAGCGATTTTCAACAAATAGGAATTATGTTATTTCATACATCAAGTTAGTAAACTTGTGTTATGTATGATTTTCTTTGTGTCCAATGTTTAAAAACCCTTGAAAAAATGTCCCCGAATAATAACTATTTTTTCTATGTTTTTTGTTTTCTTTACGTTATTCATAATTTATAACATTAATTTATATCAGAAAATTGTTTTGCTTACTGAATGTTTTGCGTTACGAGTAAGATTCTGTAACGGATTATGCTCGTTAAGCGAGGTTCTACTGTATGTCCAATTTGCTTCTATTTAAGAAGTATATTTTTTTTTAATTATAATTCATAATAATTTTAAATCTAAAATTTTATTGTAAAATTTATTATTGCTTACAATGTATAATATATAAATATATAATATATAAATATGTGTAGTATTATATACTAATAAATATCTGCAAATTATGTGATAATACCAGTTGCCAAAATTTTGTAAAATATAAGCTGCGAGTTAAAATATACTGATTATTGTAATAAAGTATTTTAACAGTCATTCATTTTCTGCATGTTGCTTTTTACTGCTTGAAATAATTAAAATTAATCAAAATAAACAATAGAACATTAATATATGAAATTAATATGTATAATTTTCAATAGCTAAATAGAAAAAATATTCAAAGACCTTGTACAAAACGTAACTAACTATACTATATTTGTTAATATACTAATTATAATTATACTTAACATATACTAGTTTGTTTGACTTTTTATATGTTTGTTACTTATTATGTGTATAAAATGTTGCAGGTAAATACTTGAAATAAATAAAAATAATCAAAATAAACAATAAATCATTAATATAAAATATACATTTGTATGGTGTTGAATGGTATATGAGCCGTTATTTTTGAAAGTTTTATAACACAAATAGTAAATTTTTATATATATCGAGATATTTAAGGGTCTGTTTTATCACTATAAAACTGTCAAATTTTCTTATGTAATAATAATTTTTAAAATTGTTAAAGAAAATAAACGTTTTTTAGCTTTTGGTGGACTTATACCACATTCTATAATAAAATAAAGTGAAAAGTTTTTTTAAACATCATCTTTAGCGATAAAACTCATTTTCAATTGGATAGTTTTGATAATAAACAGAAATGTCGAATTCGGAGAAATAAAAATCCTAGTGTAATTAATGAAAAAATGATGAACCCATAAGGAGTCACTGTTTGGTGCGGATTATGAGCTGGAAGTGTAATTGGACCGATCTTTTTTGAGAATGATCTAACTTTTTGTGGGATCAATTGGACGACATGTCCATTACCATTATGGTTTCAACATAATGGTTCCACATGCCATACAGCAAGAGAAACCATTGATTTGTTAAAATAATATTTTCCTGATCGTGTGATTTCCAAAAATGCTGATGTTAATTGATCGCCCAGATCTTGCGACTTGACGCCATGCGATTTTTTCCTTTGGGGTTTTGTAAAGTCCAAGGTGTATGCTAACAAACCACAAACAATTCCTGAACTGAAAACAAAGATCCAACGCGTTATTTTTGAAATTGAACCTTGCAAAAAGTCCTCGAAAATGTTATCAAAAGGTACAGGGTATGCCAGCACAACCGAGACGGCTATTTGGCCGACATAGTATTCCATAATAAGTCCCAACATGTCTACTTTATAAATCAATAAAAATTTCCCAATTACATAATAATTTACTATGTTTCATTTCAAAATTAAATCCGGCTTATCCGATGGGCCACTCTATATAAACATAGTAAGTATTTCACACATTTTCCCCCACTTGGACTACGCATATGATAATTAGATAGCGACACATTTTTAAGATAAAATGTAGATCTCTGTGCACAAAAGCTAGCTACCCTTACTGTATATTAATCATAATACTTAAATTTGAAACTTTCTATATAAATAATAATTCTTAGTATATGTTACTTTGTTTGTCTTTTTTATTATATTTTCACTTATTATGTGAATGAAAATGTGTAATTGGCGTGTAGGCGAAATAATTGATAATTAGAATATGAGCCGTCAATTTGTGAATGAATATGCATACAAAATGCGTACCTACTTAAATAACACACCATTCTGCGTTATCACAAGACCATGACGGTTACTGGTCACCGACCAACCTTGTCTTATTACCTACCCATTTGTACTTAATTTCCTCTTCACCGAAAAATATGCAAATCCAACGTCATTTCTGTAACCCATATTTTCAAACAATACCAACAAAAAAAATAATGATTTTCTCATCAATTGCCTGCAGGAAATTCATTTCTATCTCTCAGTCATTGTATTTCAACGAATCAAAGGTCGTGTTTACCGTTGTTGACCTAAGCCAATCAATAAATCATCAAGGAGACGCACAGCAAAAGGAATATTTTGCTTCAGGACATATTCAACTTCGGAAAGCTGTGACCGCAAATCTATTCCAAGATATTAAAATCAAATAGCCGACGGGTGAAGCGTGAATTCGATGTAAAATAGGTGTGAAAACAAAATTAATGGCATTGCTCAACACAATTATATACGAATTGTAATTAAAGAAATTAAAATTAAGCAGTTATTTTTTTTATATACCTTGACTAAATTCTAATTGTAATTTACTGCAATTGTGTTAACTTTTTTTTATTGGTTTCTGAGTATTTACAATATATATTTTGTATGTGTGTGAGTGTTAACTTACTTTGAGTTTCCAGGAATGGGCTGCTTCGAAGGAGTCCCTATCTGTAGTCGAGAATGCCAAAACGCAGGCTTGAGCTCCCCGGTAATAGGCTTTCGTGATGGCATCGAATTCTTCTTGACCTGCCGTATCCCATAACATCAACCTTACTTCCTCTCCATCAACGCTGAAAAAAAAGGAAAAGACAGAAAATAAGGAAACTTATTAACATATGAAATACTTGATAAATAATACATAGATGTCTCATCATTAATACGTTACTATATATTAAGATATTACATCCTCTTTGTATCAACGTTGCAAGTAAGAAAAAACAGAAAATAAGTCCATATTTTACAATATCAAATATATAAATTTATACATAAACAATTTTCATCAAATCAATCAATTATATGTTTTTGGTCCATACATATCAATATTTTATTACTGATATTGATATTCCCAATCAATAATAAGAAAATCACAATCACTGCTGAGGACAGCCAAGGGACAGCAAAACAACCCCACCTGAAGCAATTTTGGTAATCGGGACTTTTGTCTTAATAATATAATAAATATGTAGGTATAAGTAAATAATATTGAGGAAAATGAATAAATTACTATTTATGGTAAAAATATTGTAAAAGAACAAATTGAGAAAACAATGGTGATTCAAGGATCAGTCCATCCAACAGATAATCAAATTTTATCGAAGAACACAATACCAAATAATCTAGGATATATACGGATGGTTCGAAATATATTTGGAAGAAAGGAATAATTTCTAGAACAAGAAAAAAATAGCAAATCATTGCATGGTTTTCCAAACTGAAATGCTAGCAATTTCTAAGACATTAAGATATCTACATTTAGAAATTATAAAGGACTGGTCAGCATCTTAGTGTTACAGGAAATATATCAACCAAGCTACAATTATAACAGTGGAACCTCGCTTAACGAGTTCCAAAATTTTCGGATTTTACTAGCATAGTGAAACATATTCAAAAATACACATAATATGTGTACACAAGTTTTAAAAATGATGTAGCAGGCGCGCAATCCAGGACTTCTCTTCTCATCGTCACTTTTTATGCGAAACGTCGCTCGTTAAGCAAGTCATTTTTCTTACAATTAATTTTGCTCGTTAAGCGAAATGCTCGTTATATGAGGTGCTCGTTAAGCGAGGTTCCTCTGTACTTGGGAATTAGCGCAGACATTATAGGAAGTGAAAAAAATAAGACATTTGTTGGCGGAACGAATTGTATCAACGCAGATATTATGTTAGAATGGCAATTGGAATCAAGTTTTGACTATGGACATATATGTTTGCGAATGCAGAGAGGAATATGTTGATTCAAATGTAATCTTAATAAAGTATATAAAAATAATGCAGATTGAACGATAAGTCTTAACATGCATTATATTTTTTTTTATAAAATCTTGATAGTCCATACCATCCGGTATTGATTCAATTGACAAAGTTGTCTGATTCAGTTGTCTAAAAAATTGTTGGGACTAGAAATTTGGAAATTTCTGATCCCACAAAGAGTTGAAGGATTAACAGGGCCACGAAATGAAGATGTATAGAAAAATAATATGGTATAAAATATTTGGTATGGAAGAAAAACATCTACACAAATTACTTCACGATTTAAAATATCAACATAATTAAATTAAAGAAAGTATAGTTAGGGAAAACATAATTAGGAATTACAGTGATGTTAATTTTAAGCCACCCTCAGATTGACATTACGTCGGTATACATATAAAGATCATGCATATACCATATATAGAAATGTTGTTTATAATAATACCATGAAATTACTATACTAAGTGACGCTGTTACTTAAATTGTATTTTCATTTCATAGTGTCGAATCTATTAAAATCTTACTAATATCGATTCTTTAGTCTTTGGCACATGTGTCCAATACATATGTTTAAAAAATGTTAAATTGACTAAATTAAAGATAATTTCAACGATAAATAATGATGACAAATTGCTATGATGCTGTTACTTGATTTTCGTATTAAGTGCTGCAACAAGAAAATATTTGGAAGTGGCGGATCAAAGTCAACGAAACCAAATCCAGCCATGTCACCTTCACCCTCAAAAAGGGAACCTGCCCCCGGTCACACTGAACAACAAAATCATCCCGCACGTCGAAAATGCCAAATACTTGGGCTTGTTCTTGGATCGCCGACTAACGTGGAAGAAGCACATCGCAACCAAAAGGAAGCAAATGGGCATCAAGTTCGCGAAACTCTACTGGCTGATCGGCAAAAGATCTCCACTATCCCTCGACAACAAACTATTAATTTATAAGACAGTACTAAAGCCGGTGTGGACGTACGGCATCCAGCTTTGGGAAACAGCCAGCAATTCCAACATCGAGATCCTGCAACGCTTCCAGTCCAAGTGCCTGCGAACCCTGGTGCAGGCCCCCTGGTACGTGACGAACGACATGATACACACGACCTCCACATGAACACTGTTGAAAGTGAAATCCCCAAGTTCAGTGTACGTTACCAGAACAGACTTGAAACCACCCCAACAGTCTCGCATTATCCCTGCTAGATAATAGTGACACCCCCCATAGACTGAAGAGACACAACACCCTCGACCTCCCCTTTAGAAACTAAAAGTTCGTTTCATTGTCCATTAGAATGAATATTTTTATTTAATTTTCATAGTGTCGTCAAAAGCAATTTTTTGGTTGGGTTAATATTGTCATTGGATTAATTTTTTAGTTAAATTTATATTTGTAGGAAGATTTCCGTTGGGAAATCGTTCCGCTCCATGCAATTTATTTTGTTTTTTCTGGTTTTTATTTTCTTCTTTTTTCTGTCTTGGCCAAAAAACATTCGACTTATTGCCAGGGATGTTGACAGGTTGTGAATAAATAATAAAAGTTATTAAAAAAAAAGAAAATATTTGAAAAAAAATGCATCAACTAAGTTGTATTTTAATAAGAAGCACACAATTTTCACAACAGGATCCTGCAACAGACTAAGTACAAAAGAAGGTGTATAATGAATACAAAGTAAATATACAAGAAAGGAAACAGAAGAGTTACGAAAACGCCGAGGGCAGCGGAGCGCGGAAACTTTCTTATGCACGCATTAAGTAAAATAATTTGCGAGATCAACGTTTCTGGTTACACTTAATGAAACCTGCGCAGCTTTCAGCACCGAATCAACGCCGTTAATTAGCACACAGTGTAAAATCGAAAAGAAAGAGAGAAAAAGAACAGTGCGAAAGTATCGGATTAACATAATTATACGGAATCGATTGGAATGAAATGGACTGCAGCCAGGTGTTGGATTGATGGTACATTTTTAATTAACATTTAACGGACTGCAAAATAACCTTTACAACGTTTCAGCAGTCAATCAATTGGCGTAGGAATGCACCACGTATTTCCTTGTTTCGTTTCTTTTCCTACAAAAAAAAAAACAACTTATTTCTAATAGAATCGTGAAGAGGAAAATAGAAAGTAAATTAAGATGTTCTAAGTACAATCAATCAAAATCCCATTGCAAATGTCAGCATTGACATATCGATCGACTATTATAAAGCAATTAGCGAACATCTGCTGAAATTCTTTCGAAAATATCAATTTATTTATGCTCCATCCATGTAAATATCATTGAAACGATATTTTCAAATTGTTGAATCTATATAGCGCACATACAGAGAGCGAGATTGAATCACTAATTGATATATTCGTGTAATTTGAAATTAATTGAGTAATTGGCACGTGATGTATGGGGATTATCGATGAACGATTGACTTGTTGCAAGCAAATTAGATTCTAAATGATACGAGCCGTGAAATTTTAATGGATCAATGATAAATCGAGTAAAAATGCAACAGTTGCGCACCCGTTTCAATGTTTCCGGTAATGTAATATGGATCGTAAAATTTCTGATTTTATGGTTGAAACAAGTGGAAAATTAGCGATAAACGATTCATATTTTTTTATTCTAGAAAATAAACACATGTTTATTAAATCCGTAAACGAGTTCCATATATACTTTTTGGTTTTTAAATCATTTCAATTGGTTTAACATTTCATGGTTCATTCCTGAATTAACAAATCTAAACTTTGAACCAAAAATGATTAAATAAATTTTATTTAATATTTTCATTTTAACTTAGTTTTGAATGAATGTGCATCAAATCGGAACAAAGTGAAACAGCTGTCCTTGCTAAAAGGCTAATTATGTGATTTTACTGCCTTTCCTTTCCTTTATATTATAAATTGGAGACACTAAAAAAATGTATATAAAGGTGAGTTCCTTTGTGATGGCTCAGACTATGTAATTATTACGTTGTCGAGAAAACAAGATAGATGGGCGGACACGAAGGAGCAAAACTTGAGAAACTCTGAATGAAACAATATGCAGTTTGTAAAATGTTGAAGAAAATTTAGTACTAAATCTTTTTAATTAAATAATATGTATCATAAAAGTTCATATGTCCAAACGTTGTAACAAATTCACTTTTCATTTTAATTCAAATTGAAAGTTATTTCCAAAAAAATGTGTCTTATTTATATTTTATAGGACGACTAATAGCCGAATGGTTAAGTCGCCTTACCAACGATTTCGTTCGGGCTCTTTGTGAGCCCTCTCGGTGCTTGCAGTCAAATGAATGAGGAGATATGGAGAATATGGAGATTCACAGTCAAAAGAAATAGTGGAATCGCAGAGCCTCAATATACTACTGAAGTTAACGTACAAGGCGATAGCAACCAACAAATTTTAAAAAAAGAAATCATCATAAAGATTATCCATTTAATGTCTGAAATTTACTCAATGTTCACATTGATGAACAGCAGATTGTGAATAAAACTTATACGACATAAAAAAAATATATTTTATTAAGTAGAATAGTTTGGAAGTAATACACATTTTGTAGATTCACTTTTCATTCTATTTCAAATTGAAATTTGTTTCAAATAAATGTGTTTTAATTATATCTTTTTATTCTTACAGTTTAGATATGTATATAAATTTTGTACACAAAATTTACTTTAATAATGTATTTATTTATTTTTTTAAATTGTTAACTATAATTTATTAATAATAAGATGTAAGTAGTTGGAATATTATCTTAATAACAGAGTAGAAATAACTAGAGCAAATACATGTTTATAACATATTTCATATGAACTAGATTAATTTTCTTTTTATTATATACTTACTCAATTTGTCGCTCCAGAAAATCCACCCCGATGGTCTTCTTGTAGTCCTTGGTGAAAGTTCCTCTGCAGTACCTTTGAATCATGCTGGATTTTCCAACACCACCGTTTCCCACTATAACCACCTGAAAAATCATATTATTATAATTTGAATACTGAAAATCAATAGAAAAAAATATATTTATGGTCACTTTTTTAATTGAAATTATTGTATTATTACTGAAAAATCTATAATGCAGCTTCGATCAGTTCGTGCCGATTTTTCACGAAAATTAAAAATCAAAACTTTTATATATAAATTTTTAAATGTATATGCACCATTTTTAATCTATAAATCGTTCCTTCATCTTTCAAGCAACTTAAAATTTATTAGGTTTTCGCCAAAAACAGTTAATGGAATTTATTGTGGAAATCGGAAAGTGCACTGTCTGGTGAATACTACGGGTGAACAAACACAACTCTTTCCGACTTCAATATTTTTTTTTTGAATAGTAAATGTAATATAAGGGCTGATATTGTAGTGATTTTTGTCCGTTAAATTGTACAAAACTCATATATTTCAATGGTTTCAAGCTTCGAAAACATTCATCAATGGTTGTTTTTAATATTTTTAATACGGGTTATTCTCAATAAATGTCATTATTACTAGCAGAACTTGAAGGCTGAAATCATCAGCTCTAAATTTACAGAAATACGTTCTTATAGTTAATTTAGCTAAATCAACTTCACCGTTAACAGAATATATCTTTATTGCTTTAGTTGCATTTTTGGCCTTACAGTAATAGGAAAGTATCAAAATCTAAAATGCACTTTGTTATCTTCCATCTTCAGGAAGGGTACTAAATGTGTCAGTTTAATTTGTTCCAAACCCAACTTTTCTCACATTTCTAATAGGCATCGCCAAAATCGCGCCATCGCGAAAATCGACACGAACTTTCCGATATATTATTATTAATTAATTTATGTTTTTTATCAATAAAATGTACTGTAAATAATAATATTAAAAAATATTACCTTTAGGGCCACCTCAAGTTCTTCTTCGCGCATGGTTTTAGGCCCGCGGCCCGTAAGCACCCCTTGAATTGGGGCTCATCGGCATCGGGTCTCGAATGAAAGGCGCATTGCTCTACAAAAAAAAGATACACAAATTAAAATTATATAATAAAACTAATATTAAATATATCGGTATGTATAAAAAATGTACATTTGAAATCAAATAGGTTTAGGAAAAGTGTGTCATTAAACGAAATAGTTTGGTTCTAATTACACTTAAAAAATAAAGTTATAATGGTGTTATTTTTTTTAAGTATACTTTTTGGTAAAAAAAATATTTTATGTAACAAATATTATTAAATCACTTATTGAAAAAATAATATGTGTGTTTTAATAGTGTTCAGTTGTAAAAGCAATTAATTTTATATCACTAAAATCACTGGCAACAAATTTTATTGTAAATGTAAGCTTTAGAATATTAAATATATTATAATTAAATTTATAAATGCGTATCAAAAATAAAGTTAATTTAATAAATATAATAAATACTGACATTTTATTTTTTTTATCAATTGACTTTTTTTTTGAAATTATTTATATTTTTGTTTATTTCTGTATGTTTCTTTTTGTACGACTGATGCAATAAACATTGTTATTATTATTAATCTTTATTATCTACTAAAATTGAAAAATTAAAATGATTTATTTGTATATTTGTTAATTGTTACTTATATATCACTTATCTTTAAGTGCAAACCATGTGATTATTTTTTTTTAAATAATAATTACATAATAATCATTGGAAATTGAATACTGAATTACATATAACAATGTTGATATGTATGTTTGTCAAAATAGTTTTCTGTATTTGCAAGTGTACCAACATAAAGTATGTAGTTACTCGTCTACTTTGACAAATTAATTAATTGTGCTAATTGGGATATCAACATTAAGTATATTTTCTCACCAGCAAATTGCAACAATACCAATGTGAAAAATAATGTATAAACTAGTTTATAACTTTCAATTTCTGTCATGGGAAATTGATTTTATATATTTCTTAATTAGAACGTCGTCGCACATTCAATACTAATTAATAGCGTCGGGAGAATGATTCTGCGAAATTGCGTGGAGCATAATTAACCAAGAGAGGTGTAACAGAAGGATAAGATGGTCGTCAATGTGGATGTGGTGTGTGTAACCAATCTGGCGTGGTCGAAGACATGCAAAATACGTTTTGCGCACATGACTTTTTTCTCACGTTCTCCTCTAACATTTCAATACAATGGCCATGCACGAAGTTCGTTGTAAGAAGAGAGGGCTGCTTCGAAAGAGGAGAGAACGAAGAGCCTTCGTAGCATTGAAGAGCTTCGCTCATCATTATTATAATTTATTTAATTAGAATCTTTCTTCGGAAGCTCGCAAGACTAATTCGCACCGTCATCGTGCTAATGTTGGACCTCTCGTCTCTCTTCCACAGGAGGCACACACAACACCAACTACATAGATGAGCCGAAGAGTCTCAGGATCGAGGAGCGCACCGCAAATTATCATATCAAGTTCGTATGGACGGCAGCGGCTTTGGTTATTCCGCCACTAAAAGCTTTCCACTTGATCGGTCACTCAAACGCGTTACTTTTTCCTCGCTCGTCTCCATCTGATCCTCTCTCTTTTACATTCCACCGAAGTTACTGTAACGTATTCTCTTCTTAGCATCCACTACAAATTGTCTTATCTTCTAACATTGCTTTAGAGGTATACTACAAATTATTCAAATGCAAATACCACTTCGGAAGATGTATTTTCAATAGTTTTTGTATACATCGTTGCAATTATGAAATCTTCTAACAAATATTCTGCTTTATACACACAAGAAACACAAATATCATGTGTTCCAACTACAATATACAAGTGGCATCAAACTGTGTATAGCAATACTTCATTTAATGCTACCTCGTTTCAATATAAAGTGATCTACTTGAAGGCTAAAAAACTTCTAAATTTTTATATTCACATTAAATTTAACTTCGATTACGCTGTTTCGTTTAGGGCAACACGTGCTGTAATTATGAAATTAAAGAAATCCATAGAATTATCAATCTGTTATTTCCATATAACGAAAAGTTATTTATATTTTATTATTGGTTTCTTTATAAACTTTGTTATTTGGTTTAGATTTTTTTTGTTCATAATGAACTTACATTTATTATTTACTTAATGAATAATAAAATATGTAGTGTAATTAACCTCAGTATATGTATATTATAGTTTATAGATTATAATTAAAATTACTGTTCTGTTCTTAATTGCTTAAATTCATATCTATTTTAATTGGAATTCCTTATAGGTTAATCGACATGAAAAATAATTACCATTACAGACACATAATGCATACCTAAACTATAGTTATAAGTTAACATACGTATTGAAAATTATATTATTTAAGCAAGATTGCTTAAAACAATCAAGTAAAAACAAGTAGTAGACAGGTTCTTGTATACCTGTCTACTACTATTGACCATTTGTGTGTAATCGAACCGTAACGAAACGGATAACTATTCGATATTAAATATGCTAGATATTTAGAAAATAAATTTGCGGTCTGCCGTTTGGTATTCATGTCGACTGATGACCGAACGGAATGTTTGTGCCCGAGTCTATAAATACAGCATAAATGTCTTCTGTCCCTTTGTGGGTGTCCCGTTCTACCGATGAAAGCAGATGAAAGAGGCGAGAAGAGAGAGCAGAGGAAATCCACATCGCTGAACGGATGATGCAAATATTTACATTTTTCACAGATCTAACTGCTCGACGATTGATCCAATATCGAGATGCACCGCAAATTGAAATTTGTCTAAACAAATGCATCCGATGTATTTTTGGTATACGCAAAATACGGGTCGAAGTTTGAAAAGACGGCATTACAGAGGATCAAATAAAAATCGACAGTTTCAATATACAAATGTATACTTACAAGCATACGCATACAGAGAGAATCATAAAACACGCGGCGTTTCGTTTGATTACAGTTGCAACATTCCCTGCATAAACCGAGAGGCTAAATTTACGGAAAATCCGGTTAAATTTAGAACGCGTTTCGCTAAAACAAGAAACACGCCGACACCGTGTCAAATGTAGCTATTTTCAGATATTGTAATTTGCATCGAACCTATTTCCTTGGGTTTGCTCAATCAACATCTAAATACTAAATTTGTACAATGTATGTATGTATGACTAACAATCAATAATAGATTATTTTCAGAAATTACAATTTAGATAGACCTAATACATTTGAAATAACTTTAACTAACAGTACATTTAAAATAATTAACATCTAAAGAATACATTTATATAACTACATATGAATACATTAATACCTCAGTTAATTAACAACAACGAAGCTTCAATATAACGAAGTTCGCAATTCTAAGTCCCATTTAACATACAAATATTTCTATTTCAGACCAACCAACAAAATTACCAGATGTTCTGATGAATGATGGGTTTTCAGTGGAAGATTTAGAACCTGATGAAAAATAGTTAACAACCAAAGATATCTAAGTGACAATCTGGTACTAAGTATGTTTCTTGGTAAAAATAAATCCAAAATTAACACTTTCTCTTTCATACTGTTACGTCTAAAAAATGATGTTAATAACATGATGTAAAAAAACTATTGTTGAATTAAAAATTAAAGCTGTATTAAATACTAATTATATAAAATATTTACATAATAATCAAAATTTATTACTACGAAATCAATAAGCAAATAAAGTTTGTAATGTGATTGATACTTTTAATTACTTACTTATTACTTTAAATTACTAATACTAAAATTTGAGCATATTTGAAAATGCAATCAATAAATTAAACAGTATAGTAATAATTTTATTCTAAATTAAATTATGCAATGTAAATAATATACATAATAAAGCAAAATATAATAACAAGGAAACTAATAAACAAAAAAATACGTGAATTATTTTCTATACTTTCCAATTTACAACATGTGAAAATGATAAAGCTTTAAAATGTGTAAAATGTTTACAAAGAAATTACGTATTTTTTTATTATTCCCATATACTCAGTGAAAGTTTGTGCAATAAGATAAATGAAACAACGAGAAAATTACGTTTTCTTTACTAAGATCTTCCTAGTGCAAAGTTTCTCTTAGGTTGTGTGTTCTTTTTAATTTCATATAAAAGGCTGATGTATTTTCGACTTTTAGTATCATTTTAAAATTAAACCTTATACACAATATAAAACCTTTTATAAAAAAAAACTAAGGAAATATCATATGAAATGCAAAAAAAAACAAACAAAAACACAATTTTAATAAGTTTTTTTTAATATTATAAAAATAATATCAAATTTAAATATTTAGGTTCAAATCAAAATAACAACTAAATAAACCACACTTTCTAACTTAGAGATATTTCACACTATTACCAACTGTAAAATATTTTACAAGTTATAAATGAATTCACATAGTGCGGGAATTCGCTTTCATAAAAAACGATCAATTATGTACAAAAATAATTTTGTGCACTATTTTTTTTATAATTTATTTTGCTTAACTAAAATCATAAAAATAGTGAAAATACTCTATTAATTAACTGTGTATAATTGAATTAAAAATGAAAGTAATCTAATACTTTCGAACGATTAGCTTGGTTATTTCTTTCAATTTTACTTCACTACAAGTCTAATGGACACGTAATGTTAGCAAGTTAAAATTCTTTAAGTCTTCCAACGAATGGGAAGCAGCTGTATTTAACGATTCCAGATTATAAGGAAACCGTTACGTCCTTATGGACACTCGCACATTCGATTCATTTTATTCCATTTCTTTACGCGGTTTAACATACAGCAACTGTTGGTTTCGGAAGAGGACATGCGAAAAGAAAACACGGAATCGTACATTCCATTTATTATCAATAATTAACGTATATGACGCCCGAGGACAGAAATTCATAAACAGGAGATGCCATTCAGATGGAAAGCTGCGGTTTTCTAATTTATGGATTGGTAAAGGAAACTGCACTGCGTCTTTCACATGCAAATAAATTGAATTGGAATTCGAAAATGCGCAAATATCTCATGATTATTAACGCAAATAAACCAGGTACGGAT